TATAACAAATTATTTTGAATATATAACATAATAATTTATAATAATATTATTTTATATATATATATATATATAATTAAAAAAAAAAAACATGTGTCCGGCCGGTCGGACCGGTCACGACCGGCCGTCGGGGCCGGACGCCATTTGGGCCGTCCGGTTTCGGCGGCCGGACAAATTTTTTTTTTTTTTTTTACTTTTTGAAAAAAAATGCCAGGGGCAAAATTGTCCAAAGGGGGGCGGTAAGTAATAATAGGGGGGCGGTGAATAGTAAATGAGAATGAAAAATGTTTATATAGCCGACAGCCTTCCCATGGGCTACGATCTACACGTTAAGTTATACATAAACTTAAAAGTGTTTCAAAAATATAAATCAATTATTGGTATGGCCAAATTATCGGCCAACCAAGATCTACGGTCGAAGCGACTTGTCTCGAATCACGAACTAGATCAACCTTGCAAAACAGTGTCGGGGCCGGCCCCAACGTAGATTGCAGTTGTGAACAAATCAAATATTTTCGATTCGATTCGAATCGATTCGTGATTCAAATTCGGTATTCGTGATTCATATGTGTAAGAATTCAAATTCTATTTCGAATAATAATTAGTATTCAGACATTTATTCAAGTACGAAGTATGCACATATTCTATTCGAAATTATTGAATATTCGATTCGTTAATAGTTATTATATATAATTTAATAAGTTCTATATAATATAAGATTTTATTTATATAGTATATAGAAATACATCCAATATTAATATAAAACAAAAAATATAGATTCATATTTAAAAATAATATACTTCATTTATTTCGAAAATATATTTATATTTACAAATAAATATTATATTCGAAAAGTATATTTGAAAAATATATGTAAATAATTTTTGAAAAATAAATTTTGAATCAAATCGAATATATTCAATTATCTTAATTGAATCGAATACGAATCACAAATTAAATTTGGTAACGTATCTATTACGAATATGATTAGTCTAATGTGAAGTAAAGTTACAATATTTAACAGTTTAAGTAGTTCTAACTATGCGAAGTAAAGTTACAATATTTAACAGTTTAAGTAGTTCTAACTATGCGAAGTAAAGTTACAATATTTAACAGTTTAAGTAGTTCTAACTATGCGAAGTAAAGTTACAATATTTAAAGCCATTTTTCACCTTTCTCTCCTTTTTTAATTTGTTCTCCAGGGGTGTATATGTAACAAATGTAAAAG